TTTATTCTGAAGGTCTGCAAAGAGCTATGCAAGTTTAGCAGTCTCCTCCTAGATTTCAAGGTCATACCCAGTGGCTCAGGCAGAGACTTTTTAAAGGAACGGAACCAGCACATTGAGCTCCCACTAAGGCAATGCTAAGCAGAAGTGTGGGGTCAGAGCTAGAAACAACACAGAATACATGCTAGGGCAGTGACTAATGAAATCATAGGAGCAGAGCTATCACAGACAGTTCTCATTATAGTAGTACAGAGGCAAGTTTGGGATAGGGACTGTTGCCCAAAACCCCAGAACCGTAGAACCACATCAGTGCAACAGGGCTGGAGCATGGGCTAAGCCCAACAAAACCACAGGACTGTCAAGTTGAACTCCTTGGGGATTCCGAACTCCTTGGGGATTCCAATCTCCTTGCTGAATCAGCAAGACATGGAATTAAATAGATTACTTTGTAGCTTGAGGACTGAACTTAATACTTGTTACTTCTTTCTTCTTGCCTATTTCTCCATTTTTTGGAAAGTAAATGTCTATCCTATATCAGTTTTCCCATTGTATTTTGGAAGGAGATGACTTGTTTTAGTTTCATAGGTTCACAGCTATAGAAAATTTGCCTTAGAATGATTTAGGCTTTGAGTCTCACTCTTATTCAATTTAAATGACTTTGGACTTGGAACTTTTGAGTTGAGGCTGAAGGAAGTGAAAACTTTGAAACTATTGGGATGAAAAGAATGTTATTTTGTGTGTGAGAAAGACATGAATTTGGGGGCAAGCAGAGGATGCTAGGGTTACCCAATCGTAGGTATTCTATGATAGCAAATGAAAGTGGACTAAGACAGTGGATATTCTTGCCTTAGTCGTGATCTTAGAGGTAAAGTATTTAACTTGTAACCATTTAGTATGATACCAATTGTAGACTGCTAATGTAAGTTGAATATCCCTAATTACAAATGCTCGTGACCACATTTTTGTTGTTGTTTTGAAGTACTTATATATACATAATGGTACACTGGGGTGGGACCTGAGCCTAAACACAAAACTTATTTGGTTTGCATATTCACTACATAAATATTTTCCAAAAATAGTTATATGCACACTCCAAATAATTTTGTGCATGAGGCAAAGAATCATGATGTGGAATTTTCCAATTTGGTCATTATTATTATATAGAAAGTTTCAGAAGTACTAGCATTTCAGATTTTGGATTTTTGGATTAGGATTATTCAACTTGTATATGGCCTTTATTGTCTTGGAGTAACTCCTTCTATGCCAATTTTTTTGAGTGTTTTTATTAGCAAATGATGTTGCTTTTTTCCCATCTATTGAATAATAATGATTTTAAAAGTTTATTCTGTTAATGTAATGGATAATATTTAATGACTGGTATTTATTTAACCACCTTTGAGTCCCAGAAATAAATCACAGATGAGCGAGTCTTATGATCCCTTAAGTGTGCTGTTGAATTCATCTTATATTGAGGAGTTTTGGATTTCTATTCACCAGGGATATTCATCAGGTGTATTGGGCTATAATTTTCTCATAGTATACTTGTGTGGCTTTTTTGTCGAGATAATGCTGGCCTCATAAATGAATTTGGAAGTGCTTACTGCTCATCAGTTTTTTGGGGAAGGACATGAAAAGGATTCATGTTATTTTTTTTTTTTTAAAAACTTTATAGTTATACAAGGGAGTTGGGTTCATCCAGGTCCTGGGCATAAAGTTATCAGGTCCTGGGCTTTTCTTTCATAAAAGAATTTTAATAACTAATTTAAACTCCTTGTTTACCAGTCTGTTGGGATTTTGTATTTATGATTCAGTCCTGGTAGATTGCAACTTTCTACAAAGATTCATTTCTTCTAGGTCATCCAAATTGCGGGTATAATTGTTCATACCAGAATTTGTAGTACATTTTGTATTTTTGTGCTATTAGCTGTAATGTTTCTTCTTCATCTTGAAATTTATTTACTTCCATATTTGTCTAGCTAAACTTTTATCAATTTTGTTTATTGGTTAAAAAAATCAACTTTTAGGTTTGTTGATGCTTAATAGTGTTTTCTGAGTATTTTCTTAATATTGTTTTTTTTTGTATATCTTTATTTCCTCCTTCTTAATATCTTTAATTTAGTTACTTCTTCATTTTCTAGTTCTTTGAGGTATATGTTTGAAGCTTTGTTATTTATTTGAGATCTAAATCATGTAGGCATTTATAGTCATATACTTATTTCCCTTACAAAATTCCTTTTCTGCACCTTATATGTTTTAGTATGCTGTGTTTTGATGTTTGTCTGTGTCATTTAATTTTTCTTTCAATTTTGTCATTGACCTATTAGAAGGTCAGGAGGATGTCATTCAAATTCTATATATTTGTGAATATACCAATATTCCCTGTTATTGATTTATAGTTTTGGGCTTTTATTTGGCAAAGATACTTGATATAATTTCAGCATTCTTAAATATTTTAAATTTGTTTTGTGGCATAACATATGACCTATCCTGGAGAATGTTGTGTATGCTCTAAGAATAATGTGTATTCTGCTATTGTGTAGAATATTCTATGGATATATGTTAGGTCTATTTGGTGTAACATACAGCTCAAGTCCAAGGTTTTTTTATTGATTTTATGTCTGGATGACCTATCTATTGTATTAAAGATGGAGTATGGAAGCACCCAACTATTATTATTATTTTGAAATCTATTTCTCCCTTAAGATCTATTAACATTTGCTTTTTTATATTTAGGTTCTCCCATGTTGGAAAGAATGTGTGTGTGTATATATAAAATGACCTTCTTTTATCTCTGTCTTACAGTGTTTGGCTGAATTCCTCTGTGAAATAGAAGTGTAAACACCACTACTGCCTTTTGGTTCTGTGGCATGGACTGTATTTTTCCTTCCCTATTCTCTTCTATGTCCTGAATGTTTGTGTCTCCCTAAATGTCACCGTTTCATTCCTAGTGACCACAGTGGGCATATTAGAAGATGAAGTCTTTTTAGGTGAATAGGTGATGTGGTTCCATCCTCAAGAGTAGAAATAGTGCCCTTACAAGGAAAGGCTAGAGCACTTCCTTGCCACTTCCCCCTAGTTAGTTTCATCTAGTGAGAAGACGCCATTTGCAAAACAGAGAATAAGCCCTCCTGTGACACCAAGTTAGCTGGTGCCTTGATCTTGGACACTCAAGAACTGTATGAAAGATATGTCTTTTAAAAATAAGCCACACTGAACAAATCATATTTGTTATAGTGGCACAATGGAACTGAGTTAAGTATATTCAGGTGTTAATATTAAACACAAGGGTTACTTGCTTATTGTAACCAATTTCATTGAAATTGAAAATCTGTCTCAACTCAATTTATCTAAATCAGGATCTCAAACAAGAGGAAAGCATTTAATATAAGCCTGATGGTTTTATGCAATAAGAGGTAACAATTTATCACCTTAAAGTTTTGTATATTTTTATCTCTATTTTCATCCTAAGATTATAGCTTTTTAAAAATCAAAAATGTTTCTAGCCAAAGTGATTTTAACTAAATACTGCTGTCTAAAATGTAAAGACATAAAATTACACTTCAAAATCTTGTTACTGAAATTTTAAAAACAGAAAAAAATTCTTGCAACAAAAACTCATTAAAGCATTATTTGACCTTGAGATCATTACCAATAAGGCCTTTATATTTCTCCACATTATCACCTTGCTTTTTAGGCATTATTGTCTTAAAACAACTTATTCTTAAAGTTCAAAACTGAGTATATTAAAGGTTGAAAAATTGTACAATATAATAAATGTTGATACTCCTCAACTTAGAATGGTGTTACATCCTGATTAACTCATGATAAATTAAAATTATTTTAAGTTGCACATGCATTTAATATACCAACCTATCATATATCATAGCTTAGCAGAACAGTACTCTGTAGTATAGTGATTGCTTACTTTGTTAATCACAATGCCAATTGGATGCAGTTAACTGCTGTTACCCAATATCATAAAAGTAGTCTACGATGTATTTCTAGTTGCAGAAAAAGATTAAAGTACAATTTCTACTGAATACATATCACTTTCATACTACTGTAAAGTAAAAAAAAAATCAAAAATTTAGAGACTGTCTCATAATTTAGAGACTGTCTTTTTAAAGGAATTAAACAAGTCAATCCTCTTAACTCTAAATATAAATATAGTTTTTACAGATTTTATTGCATTTTCTGCCAATCATTTTTCCATAGTTATATAGTAACAGTTATGATAGTTTTATAGTTATATATCCAATTAAACTTCTATTCCTCTTTATGATTTGTTTACATTGTTAAATGTACTAGATTCATATATTTTAGAAGCTCACATGTCATCTTTTTACATTTGCTTATGGATAAGTAATACTTAGTAACTGATTATATTTTTTACTAAAATAAGTCATGATTTAGTTTGGTTTTTAGATCTTTCTGAATTTTATAATTTTGAAGATAGAGAGTCTATCTTTTCATGCACTGTGAAAGAGAATCTCAGAGAGCCTCAAAAGTTATGTAGAAAACTTTCAGTTTGGAGAATGAGGGATACAGACAAGCATGGAAGTAATTGCATCTAATTTCTTGCATAGATGTTTTATGAATAGGATGCATGGTACTTTGGTACACCAAATTTGAATGCAGTGCTTTTAAGATGTGGGGCTCTAGCCTCTCAGATTCTAAACACATTAGAAGGTATCAACTCAAATTCTAATTTATGAATAAAAATGAGTTAAACAATAAAATAAAATTGAAAACTAGATTAATAATAAAAATTCTGAATTTAAGTGGACATTTTAATGAGATTAAGAGTATCTCTTCTTACAAATGGGATATTCCAGGTGACCATCAATACACCTTGTACGAAATGATTGATTTCGTGTTGATGGAGAATATCCATATTTACACACAAATTCAACAGTGTCCCCTGATGAAGAATAAAGCTTTTGGTGTTCTTTCCATCTTAAGGTTATGTGATATCTTTCCATGATTTCTTCTGATATTACACATGCATCTGAAAAAAATAAATGAGTATAATATATTAAGTTAGATATGAGTCTTTTACCAAGACTTTGGAGTTTTCAAGTAGAATGTTTTTAATATTTCAGAAATTCTTCCTGAAAACTCTTCCTGAACAAATTCTGTGTGAATACCAGATAGATTAAAATAAAGTTAAAGTAGTAAATGATGTAAGAATTAGGTGGTTAATGTGTGATAATTATATTTTATTACCAATTCTTAAGATCATTTATCATATTAAGAGCTTGGCATTTTAGAGTGTAAAACCATTGGCATTATGGCTGACTTTGTTTTTCTTTTTTGGACCGGGAGATTGAAACCAGGGGCACTTTATGCCTGAACTACATCCACATTCCTTTCTTTTATTATTATTGTTAGACAAGTTCTCATTAAATTATTGAGACTTGCCTTCAAACAGTGATTGTCCTGCCTCAGGATCCCATGTTTCTGGGATTACAAGAGTGCACTATCATGACTGGATGATTTTTCTTTAATTAAAATATTGGTCAAAAGGCTAGGGATATAGCTCAGTTGGTAGAGTTCTTGCCTAACATGCACAAGCCCTGGGTTCCATCTCCAGCCTCATAACAAAAGAAAAAAAAATATTGGTCAAATGCTACAAATCTTCAGTTATGTAATGTATAAGATAGAGAGGGTGTCACATACATAAGCAGTATAAAAGACTAATGAAACTGTAGGGAGTCGCCCGGCTCCAAAGACTAACTTCCCCTTCCCCGGAGAAGAGCCATACAATGGTGAGCCGTGCTGGCTCACATGATCCTTACCCACCAATTAGACTAGCCCTGCTGGCTCACATGATTCTTACCCACCAATCAGACTAGCCTGCTGGCTCACATGATCCTTACCCACCAATCAGAAAGCACCCCATGCCAACTGTCAAACCCTTCAACCTTTAAACTGTCAAAATTGTCAAACCACCCCCAGCTCTATAAATGTGCAGAGCTATTCCTCAATAAACGGACATTTTCTCTGAGGACAAGCCTTGTTCGTTCTTTCAGAAACAACAAGTTGGTTATCATAAAAGGTAAGAACAATGAACATACCTTAATAAGACTAACCAAGAAAAAGAGATAACTCAAACAAAATAAGAGATGAAAAAAAAGACATTACAACCAATACCTCAGAAATACAAAGAGTCATTAGGGATTATTATGAGAAAATGTATGCCAACAAATTAGAGAACCTAGAAGGAATTTATAAATTTTTAGACACATATATTCTGCCAAAATTAAACCATGAAAACATATAAGCCAGAAGAGATCAATAATGAGTAATGAGATTGAATCAGTAATAAAAAGTTGAGGAAAGCCCATGACTAGATGCTTTTACTGATTAATTTTTTTGAAATCTTTAAAGAAGAACTAATTCCATTTCTTTTAAATTTGTTGTGAAGATTTGAAAGAGAGAGAATCATTCCCAGCCCATTCCTTGAGGCTAGCATTACCCTGGTACCATAGCAACAAGAACACAAGATAAAAGAAACTGTAGACTAATAACCTGATGGACATAGATGTAAAATTTCTCAATAAAATATGAGTAAATCTGAATGTGATTCAACGGAGAATCATAAAAATTATTCACCATAATCAAATTGGTTCCATCCTAGAGATGCAAGGTTGGTTCAACATATTCAGTTCAATAAACATAATACATCCCATTAACAGAATGAAGGATAAAAATCATGTGATTAATAGATATAGAAAATGCATTTGAATAATTTCAATATCACTTCCTGATAAAAGTCCTGAGCAAATAAGGTTTGGGAAGATCATACCTCAGCATCATAAAGACCATACCAGACATAGCCATAGGCAATATACTGAAATGAGAAAAGTTGAAAACATTTCCTCTAATATCAGGAACAAGGGTATCTATTCTCCCTGCTCTTATTCAGTATAGTACCAGAAATTTTAGTCAGAACAGCGAAATAAGAGAAATAAAGGGCATACAAATTGAAAGGAGAGAAATCAAATTATTTGTGTCTGTAGATGATATGTTTAAATATATTAAAAAAACAAAGATTCCACCAAAAGAGTATTAGAATGGATAAAGTCATTAAGGTAGAAAGATACAAATCAATATACAAAAATCAGTGAGATTTTTATACACCAATAATGAATGTGCTGAGAACCAAATAATA